AGATCTACCCCAACATGGGCAGGGAGCTTTAAAACATTTATGTGGAACACAGAGAGACCCAAGCTGATACTCTCCAATTTTCATGAAAAAACAGGAGAATTTCCAAAGGACAAGAGGTTTCCAACACAGCTTCAGCACAATTAGTCTTGTGCACATCTCTCAGATATCAGTCCTCAAAGAAAAGCTGAATCACAGAAGAAGAGAATAACTTGAGAGATGGAGTAGGCAGTTTATCAGCTGTAAACACAAAATTACAACTAGAAGATAAATACTAGGAAGATGAATGTTATGTTATGCTTTCACTGAAAGTGACGAAGTAAAATAATAGTATCATCATCGAGTTTGACTGGACTTGTAATAGGCTTCTTGAAAGAGCTGAAGTGTCTGGGACAAGTACTTATTTTGCTGCCTACAAAAAACTTCTCTCTCAGAAATACGGAGAAAAAGACCCTATTGTGACCCAAGGTTATTGAATACTAGATAGATAAATCTGCAAAGCTGGATGCATCTACCTACTTGGGAAAAGACACAAAGATTTACCACATTCCCCTTAAGGGGGAAAAAAAAAAGAAAAGAAAGCAAACTGTATTATGAAAAGCTATATTGTGCAGACACATAAAACATATCCACTTGGAGGAAAAGATATAAAAAGAAATCTGTGTTGATGCAACAAAAATACTTTGCATTATATTAACACATTTTTAAATTATTAGCATATAATGAACGCACCCAATAATATACCGCAGGTAACGCTCTCAATATTTTCATACACAGGATGTAATATTGTATGGGTGTAGTTCCTAAATGTTATGCTGAACCTGAGAAATATGACTGTGGCCCTTCTGTCTGATCAATGAGAAATGTCAACCAATTCTTCAAATTTATTTGTTTGAAAAGGCAATGACTTTCTTTTACATTTTGGTATAGCATTCTGCACAGAGGGGCTCAGGCTCCTGACCAGGTCCTGTAAGCAGTACTTTAATGCAAATAAATCATCATCAACAACAACATACAAACAGACACGTACTTATTGACCACAGGGTCAGACTGCAAAGCCACAAAGTAGCCCCTCTATGGCGATTACCCTCACTTTGCACTGGCTGACATAGCAGTTCTCCCAAACTCCGCATCAGACCTCAGCAGCAACTTGCAACTGGACCTACACAAGCTTGCTTCCAAGTTTGCCTCTGCACTGACATATTTAGAGCTGGTATAGAGAACACTTCTTAAATACTTTAATGTACAGCCATTTCACCCTACAGCACTCTTTCCAGATGTCCGTGCAGGATGGAAGTCCCAGCACAGAGTCTCTATACGTTTCATCCTCACCACTCAGAACTGTCCACAAATAATTATTTTTTTAGACATTGTCTTTCCATTGCCAGGCAGTTTAAAACAGACCAATGATTTTAAGTAGGTAACAGTTATATACTATTAAAAAAAAAAAACAAGCAAACAAAAAAAAAACAATACCACCCCAATCCTGTTATCATTTCTTATGTATAACTTCCACTGAAACCAACAGATGAGTTTTAGAGCACCTGCTACATGAGGCTTACTTTGCTCGTGTACAGTAGTGCAGCAAGTTAAAAATAAGCTTAACTTTTTTACAAGTTACTCATTTTCTATTGCAGTCTGGAAAAAAAGAAAAAAAAAAAAATCACTTAGTCATTCTAAAAGTGCCTCATAGTTGGTAGGTCAATGCCAAAAAGCTTGAAGAGATCTGGCCTGACTGACTCAGGAAAATTCAGACACAGTGATCAGTTCAGTAAGCCACTAGGGCTCGACACTGAAGTTCTAAGCATTGTAGCCAGAATTAAAGGATGCTCAGAAAGCTGACAAATCAAGAAATGGAGAAAAATCAAGTCCCTATCTACGTACCAATGCAGGGCTCATGCAAACACAGGCAATAATCAAAATGTAACACACAAGCATTTGCCCTAAATAAGGAAACCCCAAGTTCTTCAATAAACACATGAGCAAATAAACAGTACACACTTAAATTCAACAACAAAAAAAATTATTAACTGTACATCTACCCAAAGATTATTTAAATTAAAAAAAAGCGCCAAACAAAAAAATAAAAAACAAAAACAAAACAGACGCACACCTCCCAATGGTTAAACCAAACTGCACTCCAACAATCAGCTAGGGTTTTGTTGGGAAGAAAGCAAATGATTTAACCCAGTTCGGAACAAAAACAAATCCACATCAACAATTTAAACAGTGTTTCAGATTATTAACAGACATGTCCACTATAAAGAGGTTAGAGTAATATGTTAATATCCCACAAATCACCAAGATGATTGGGAATTAGCAGTCCAAGGTTATTAAAAATACTTCTAGGATCACTTTTATACCACATCATTTTGTTTCACTATGTAGACCTATACCAGCCAAGACCCTGAAATACTACAAAGCTAAGCACTTCCTGCAGGGTGCAGAGAACCCTCCACCGGCGGTGGTGCATGTGCATGGTGGATAATGGCTTACACTCGTGTAAAGTAAGGATGAAGCAGTTGTGAGATAGCATCATTCCAATTCTGTCACTCTCTCCTCCTTGGGCCTATCTCTGGTTTATCCTCTGGTCTATTATTGTGTCAATTAGTTTTTCCATCCCGAGTACAGTGTTTGCAGCCACTTTGTAGCACTTACCCAATCCTGTTCCTGTTGAAGTTAACAAGAACCAAAAAAAACCAACAACAAACTTTAATGCAAACAGAATTGGGATCAATGACTATTTAAGTCAACATAAGGATTAATCGCCTTAGGAAAGGTTCTCTTTTTAAACAGTTATAAGGCAAACTAAAATACACATGCTCCCTTAGAACAAAAAGCAAAAACAAAATACTACACGCACATTTATGACTCAAATCTGTGCAAACTAACAATACGAAGTTTCTTTAATCAACTCTTACTCATTTATGAAGACGCACAAAGTAGACAATTCACAAACTATTTCCTTTATCATTAGGAACAGAAGTACTTCAACAACTATTTTTCCTTAAATAGAAAGCTCTTCTCTCCAGCTGAAAGTAGAAGAGTACATTTTATATACGGCAGCCCATTTTAATGATATATCCATCTCCTCTTCATTGGCTTTGCTTTTTTTCCCAGTTCCTTGAATGCACTAGTGTAGCTATCAATATGCTGACAGTCAGCCAAATTTTTATTCCTTCAAAACCTTATATGCATTGGAAATAGCTGTATATTTCAAAATGAAAGAGAGCATATTTGACAGAGCATTTGTTTTGCATGAAAAATACAATTATACAAAATTTGCTTCACATAGAGTTGATCTGGGGTACCAGAAATGCAGGGCAGCAGGAAAAGAATTAATATGCTTGTGTGTCACTTTTTTTTAAGATCTGATATGGAAATTTGTAATATCCCTCATTCTCTCACAAACCACAATTTTCTTTGCTTCAGCTTCATAGCAACTATAAATGATCACATACCCAAAAAGTGCTATTACAGCATCACGAATAAATAAAATAATTTTATTCACCTACACATTTTCTGTTTTTCCCCTGTGCATTAGAGCTTATATAAAAACTGCATTCCCAGTGCTTCTGGTCTACTTCTTTCAAACCACAATATTGTGCATCTATTATTTCATGGCAGCCAGAGGTCACTCCAAGACAAATGTGCTGGAGAAAGCTATGGGCTTTGGAGGAAAAAAATATGGCGATTTTCATGAATCTATTTGTCAGTGATAATGTGGAACACTGTTTTGATACTAGCGACACAGAAACATCTGCACGCATAAACCCTCAACAACAAAACATAAGAAATAATAAATTTCTTGTTCCCTACCTTGCAATTTCTGGAAAATTAATAAGTGGAAAACTGATTAAAAATGTACACTTTTCAATCCACAGTAAAATTTAAAATATGAATGACTTAGCGGAGAGATGATACTTACTGCACTTAAAAAAAAAAATTGAAAAGATACCAACCTAAACACTTACATAATAAAAAAATACATTCTGCAAGTACAAGAGTTTGGTGTTTACTGGTTTTGCACTAACAAGGAAGCTGGTTAAAAGAATCCCCCAAAATGGTGAGAGAGAGAACTTCAGACCCAAGCTGAGTTTGACAAATCATCTTACTGCCCTACTGTAAGCTTACATTTCTTCTCAAAAGCTTTCTAAAAGTAACCGATAGCTGAAGAAGAGTTTCCTCATTACACATTTTTGAATGCATGCTCCTACCGAGTTTGTAGAAAAAGTATTTTGTCAATACGTGCGCAGAATTTTGAAGAAGTGTTAAAACTCCCCATAAACCACGTGCAACCCATGTTTTGTTACAAAAATAAGTATTTCAGGTCAGCCCAATTACAGCACCGTACCAAGCACCATACGTTTAGTGCTGCTAAGGACAAGAGGATGGTACTCCTCTTTTGTACTACTCTTCCTGAGAGAGAAAAAGCAAGCTCAACCCACCCCGCACATCATCGTGCCTCCATCCAGCACCCTTCGCTGACACTACTGCCTGTCAAGGAGCCCTCTTGCCAAGTGGAAAGGAAAAAAACCCACCGCCACCAAGCCTGGGCTGCCATGGTCTCCATCATTAGCTATCTGACTTCAAATTTACATTTGTCTTTCAAAGCCTCAGAACTGGATTTGGTCTTTAAGCAGGGACGCCAACTTCAAAAAAAAAAAATGTCAATTAAAAGGGAGAGTGAGAGAGAGTGCGCCACTCACCCGGCCCGGCCAGAATAAGTTTCAAGCCGTTTAGAAACCTGATCTTTATTGTGATCTAGACTGCAGGGCCAGGGGAGCGGCACAGCCGAGCTGCCACCAGACTTTTCCACTGCGGATTTCTCGTCCCAAACTTCCCCGGGAACAGCCCCGGGCCCGGCCCTGCAGGCGGGCAGGTGTCGGAGCCCGGCTCGGGCCCTGCCGCGAGAGCCCGACGCCCGGCTCTGGCTGCGGAGCCCGGGGGAGGGGAGAGGAGGCGCCGGCCCGCAGCCAGCCCTGTCCCGCGGCGGCGCCTACCTTTCATCGCTGCGAGCACAACGCACATCATTTGTCAAGGGCGACGCGGCGGGCCGGGCCGGGTGCGCGG